TTGAACAGTGGTGAAAATGAAGTCTTTTGCACATCATTCAAATTTCTTTTGCCCTTGTAATGAGTGCGTGATATTACGGCGCCGCAGTATCTCAAGAGTATCTCTCTAGATAGAGTTACATCCTGAGAAAATTTCGTAGCGTGAAATATGCTGAGTAATCGGTTTTTTAAAATTGTGTGGGTTTTGAAAACGTTTGGGATTGGTTGGAAAGAAACCACTAACCAATAGGCATTCGCCATTTTTGTTTTTTGGGATGAAGTCATTAAGGATGATGAATTCTGAATATATAAGGGTGTTCACTTCTATGTAAAAATATTTAATGGTTAAACGATATTAGTGATAAATTTGCAAAAAAACCATACTCAAAGTTAGAGGAGATAAATATGTTGTTTATAAAATCAATTTCTCCTTTTTCTGTGAAGGAAAACAACAGTTTAGTCAACAATTACATAAGCCGTTAATACGAAGTTAAGACTGTCAAAATTTGGATTTACTTGCACAATAAACCACCAAAATCATCGCGCGAAGATCCACTCTCAAAAATTTTTAAAATCTTAAATAACTTTGATGCTGAATATAGGGAAACAGCCTGTATAGAATATTTTCGCACATCAATTAAATTGGCGATTTTGGATTTTGGACAAGTGAAAACCATCGTTTCTAAGTAGTTACGTCTTAACAATTTCCAGTTATTGTTTTTTAGATTATGTCATTGTCATTGTTATTTATTTAAACAATGGTTATGTAGATAGAAAAATACGAATTTTTTCTCAAAAAAATTTACATTAAACTTTTCTGTAGGTTATCGATTTCGAAACAAATATTGTTTTTTACTTTCCTCACTAAATCATATTTTCTTCACTCTTTTTAGAGACGAAAGTAGTTGTTTCTAAAGTGGTTTCAGAAAAAATAAATGATCGTTAAAAAAATGATGGTAGTACTGAGGATCCTTCGATATCTTCCGTTGTATCGGTTTGTTTTACGATGCGGTTACAGAATTTTATGGAAAAACCTGGGACTTTACTAAGTACCCATGGATGATACACTGTTTTAAGAAGAAATATATCTACCCTTTTCCGGTTTTTACCCATGATTCAAGACTTCAAATATCTGTATCTAACACCTAAAATGATGATTTAGATGCTTTAATCAACTTGATCTTGAAGATCCAGTGATTTTGAGGTTGAGTGGGCTTGAAACTTCGAAATGGCAATTTTGGCATAGAAACATTCTAAATTTTGGAAACTGATACTCCAAAAAATTACCGTTTAAGGTCTTGAAATTGGTACACAGTGGAATTTTAATAACGGGCTTGATTTTAAGATATGAATTTTAAAATCCAAAGTTTTAAAATCTCAAGCAAGCGTAATATCCGTTAGTTTAACGCTAAACCCTGCAATAAGTTTTTTTGTTAAAAAAACTACTAAATGCAATAAAAATTATTATTATTATTATTATTATTAATTTGAAAGCAATATCCGTGCTTTTGATACTCCGACAATAAAAAAATCTTAAGGTACCTATCCTCGTACCTACCCCTTCTAAAAAAACTGAAACCCTAACTTGCATAATAAGATTCCGAACGTACGAAATTTTACGGTGGGTTTTCAAGTGAAGCAACCCTCAACTTTCCAACTTCAGTTCTGCAAAACATATCCGCTTGCATTTCTGCATGATAAGGATGGTTAAATTTCCTAAAATGTGCAAAATTTTATATCTACAATTTCAAAATCCCTTTAATTCGACTACAGAGAGTTACGAAACTTTCTCTTTCATTTATTAAGGAGTAAATATTCTTCGGTTTTAGTTAAAAAATCTGATGATTACAGGTTATTAATGAGTTAAATTAGAGAGCAAGGCTTTAAAGGTGGCGTTTACAAAAAGTACAAAAGTTGCCTTGCGATTTCCTCAATAACTTTGTTTCGAGGTAAAAAAAAATGAACTTCTGTTAACGACCGATGGTTGCTAAAGGTTTAAGCTTGTGAATGAAGTTAAATTTGGTAACAAATTATTATCAGTGTGTGATAAAAATGAAAGATATATATTTCATATGGGAGTTTTTTAAGAACTTCTTTCCTAAATAACGGCGAAAGTACAGGAATTAGCTAAATAATTTTTGTAATGCAATATTTGAATGAATGTTATTTCAACCAGAAGGAAGTTATTGTGGAAACAAATTTCCAAGTTTTCAATGTAAACGCCACCTTAAAATCTTATACTTTGTTGTTTTCATATTTATAGCCGCGAAATGTCGTATTCTAAAAAATTGTATGACATTTCGGAAATAGTGGAATAAAGAAACTTTCCAAATTAAAAAACAAGAATTTTTATAATTCAAGGTTTTGAATATAGGAATGAGTTTTCGGGTAGCATTAGCAAGATTCCCTTCAAGCTTGCATAGTGTCCTGAGGTATTCAATATTTTGAATGTCTATAAGAAGTCTAAATAAGTGGAACATATCTTGGTCGAAGCTGGAGGAAGAACTATTCAGTAATTGATCAATACCTTCGAGAGAATCCAAGACCAAGACTCGTGGTCATGGAAGGACGAGCAAAGACTGTTAAGAAATTACATTGAATATGGACGTCGCGTCGATACCAAAACAATTATTTCATAGATGAGCAAAGCTGTAACTATTGACTTGAACGGGGTCGAATTCATAGGATGGTCTACTACCAGAAGAAAAAGCAACTAAATCGCATTAAATTCACTCACAAGAAGAACATCTCGTCGAGGAGGAACCGGCGCGATGTATCGAGAATTAAGAGAAGAGCGCAAGATAAGTTACAAAAACGTAGAAGTAAAACGAATAATAGAAGTGAAGACGCAACTAAAGATAATGGTGATGCAATTACTTCTGCATGGTGAAGAGGGACATTTTTTTAATGGCAAGTACCATTTTCGTTACATATTCTAAAATGTACTCTTTTTTGGATATAGAAAACTTAAGAAATATGTTGAATTACAAACTGTATTTATTTATTTGATATTTTATGTGTGACCGCTAGATAGCATAAACGTTCAGTTTTTGATGTCTTTAGATTAGAGTGCAGGATAATGTAAAAATAAAAATTTGACTTTGGTTGTTGATCGTTAGACGTTCTGTTTGTGTTTGAATTTCTCAGTTAATATCGTTACAAATTGCACGCTTGTAAAAATAAATAAATACAGTTTGTAATTCAACAAAATATAATGGCCGTAGATGCTACAACTTGTGTAAAGAAATACTTAATTGATGCTTCTGAAGATATTTTATTTTTTTGATTAATTAAAATAAGAATAATAGATAGAACATTAATTTCTGAAAATAATTTAAATTTAAGGGGGAGGGGGGCGATAAATGTTTTATTGTTTATTTTGTTTTTTGTTTTAAATGCCATGATTGTAATCAAAATCAAATTTTAAATTGTTTTTCACGATTTAATCGGCGAGCTTTATTTTAATTTTACCTTTAATTTTATCTGCCTGCTCTTCTTTTGATTTCACCAGTGGAGTAATAGTAATAAGTAAAATTCATGTTTTCTTCTAGCAAACTCAAATGGTTGCGTTTAAGATTTCACCGTGTCAAACGACTTTAACTGTACAAAAATAAGGATCACTAATTCAAGATGGCTAAGCTTGTGAAGTGGCCATATCTCAATCATAATAATTTACAAACATTTTGATGCAGTTAACATCCTTAGAGAATGATTTGGGACTGTGGATCATTTAATATTTTTAAATAAACCGCAATCCAAAGATAATCTAAAAAGTCCTAGCGACTTCGCCAATTGAATTACAAAAACAAACTGTTCCGGTGTCAATTGTAGCATACAGCAAATGCATATAAATTTCAAAGTGTACAAAATTAGCTGACAACTGCTAGTCAATTACGCCGATATCCGCTTTTCTACCAGATCTCGATTGAGAAACGTTAATTTTTCTAGAATCTAGGGATTTCTTTGCCTTTTCAATAATAATAAGTCGATCACTAGAGCGTACAGGATCAAAAATTTATATGGAGCTTAAGTAAAAATAAAACCCCCAAATGAACGTACGAACAAAAGAATAAGAAATTAACAGAATGTCAGTATCATATTTTCTTCATAGACGCTTCCATTGTACTAAAGCAAAAGAATACAAGGAGAATAGCCGTGTATATAGCTCTGTAATGAAAATTATGCATTACTTCATATTTGAATAAGTTTGGGCGGAGAAGAGCTACAAAGTACCCGCCCCAGCCCCGATTTCCCTCTTTTCATTTACCATAACCACCCTCTTCGTTTCCACGTTCCTGGCCATTCTTTTGTATACGAATTATTTTGGATAATCACAACGCGATTTGTTAACAGACGGAAATATGTATAGTAGGTAGAACGAATTTTCATTTTGATATCTACCTCTGCTACTCGATCAATAATTGCAACCGAAATTTGTGCATATTAATATGTACGAATTAACTAATTGACGTCAATGATGTGAGTGTTAAAAGCTCGAATATGCTCCATTGTGACAAACACCACCCTCGACTTTATTAATTACGAAACTCGCTGATGTGACAGGACCCATTGTTGTAGATCCGATTGTCATATCGCATCACCATAGGCTTGTTTAACGCGGCGCATCTGGTACAAACCTAAAAATAATTAAAAAATTTCAAATAAGCACGTTGCAGCTAATTACTTAACGCACGCAGTGCGAGGGCGAAAAAACTGTTTTCCTCCCATATATACAACTCCCTCGATAACGAATCAAATTACTGTATCGAAATAATTCGCCATTGAAAGATTCTCGACTTGAACAAAGCAGACGCTTATCTTTTACACAAACGCAATTCAGGTGTTTTTAAAAACAGTCATAATTAATATAATCACAGTGCGCTGGCGTCTCGACGCCTTGGGACGTCCAATACGGCGAACCAATGAAAATAATCGAGGGTGGAGCAACCCTTATGATAGATGTTGGTTATTATTTAAAACTGCAGTTAAATTTTAAACGTTTATGGAATTACAACTCAAGAATAGAGTTAGTAATCCGCACCGAAGATGGCTGGCCCGTACTTATCACCACTTCCAAGTGATTTATTAACAGAGTATATGTTTGGACGTCGTCGGCAACGTCGTAATCGCACAACTTTCAGCCCCCAACAACTTCAAGAGCTCGAAGCGCTTTTTCAAAAAACTCATTATCCAGATGTGTTTCTCAGAGAAGAGGTGGCTCTAAGGATTAGTTTGTCGGAGGCTCGCGTGCAAGTAAGTTAATTTCTATTGTTCTAACTTCACTCGTTTGAATAAACTGAAGTGCAATTAAATTTTCTCAATTTAATTAGATAACAGAAAATTTGTCGGTCATGATATTTACATAACAACAACTCGCTACTGTTACATAGAAACTATACATCGCTGTTCAATAACTATGCTACCAATTGGTGGATTCTTCAGGAGATATTTGGGCTTTTGGATTTTCAAGCTGATATGCTTCAGCATTTGAAGTGGCTCAAAGGATGCCAACATACACAATGCTACCATAGCCTCAAGTTCGAAAATCTTTCGATAAAGTTTCTCCATTCGTAGCGTCCAAAGTAAATGAGTGGTTAATTTAATCTTGCTCATGTACTTGAAACATGGAAGGAGTTTCTTAATGCGCTCTCGGTGAAGCGAAATGCAGTTGATCCTCCTTTTTTTGATTTCTTATCTTGAAAGAAATTCTGAATAAAAAACACAATTGCTCTAAAAAAAACTGAAAAAACACTACCAGATAGACTGAGGTCTGAAATCAGCGCTCTGCGATATTTGTATTCTGTGGATTGCACGGTCCGACATTCAGACAAAGCGATAACCCCGCGATTCTCAGGAGGATCTTATTTACATCAAAATCCAAAATTTCATATCATTCAGACAACACCGCGCGAGACCTGTGTGTGAATCGCACGAATATCGCCGAGGCTGAATGCAGCCTTATCGCTCCGTTTAATGCATTTACATAGAATGCAGACATCGCAGACCACGCTCTATCTGGCAGGGCCCTTAGTTCGTCAGATCTTTTGTATTTTTAGGTTAGTACTACCCCCCGGGGGAAAATTCTCCTTAGCACCACTATTTTAGATTTTGGATTCTCTCCGCATAGTTCGATAAAGATGCGTTGGCCAGTTTGCGTCAGCAGTAATACAGAATTACATATTGCTTTTACGGGATTTGATTACGAGGGAAGTTCACAAAGACTTTATGAGCAAATTATTACCTTTTTTTTTATTTTTTGAACTCTCGACGGAGTACTAGGTAACTTTTGATTGAGAAGTCTGATCGAGAAAGTACGAATTGTTTTGGATTCTACGCGCCAAAATTAATAAGAAAAAGTGTTTTCCCGAGAAATTTTGGTGCAGTCGATTTTTGGTAAAAAAGGAAGGTTATACACTGCCTTTTTTTGAGCCCAGAAAAAAAAATTGTCTCAGATCGACCCGGAAAAAAATTTTTCTTATAGAATGTGGCCTGTAGAATCCATAATTTCAAACAGTTCCAAGATTGGGCCACTAGTTCAAAAGTTACAGCTCTTTGAATTTTCTTTGAAATTGGTTTCTAGTCCATAACTTTTGATTGAGAAGTCCGATCGAAAAAGTACGAATTGTTTTGGATTCTACGCACCAAAATTAATAAGAAAAAGTATTTTCCCGAGAAATTTTGGTGTAGTCGATTTTTGGTAAAAAAGGAAGGTTATACACTGCCTTTTTTTGAGGCCCGCAAAAAAAATTGTCTCAGATCGACCCGGAAAAAAAATTTTCTTATAAAATGTGGCCTGTAGAATCCATAATTTCAAACAGTTCCAAGATTGGGCTACTAGTTCAAAAGTTACAGCCCTTTGAATTTTTTTTCGAAATTGGTTTCTAGTCTATACCTATGTGAAATGATTTTGAATTTTTGAATGTCAATTTTATCATTCAGTGGAATGATTGATGTAGAGGTCCGTATTTCTAAATATTATTTTCTGATAGAGATATAAACTTGGCAACGCAGTACCTTATTTTGAAATATATCGATGTAAAAAACGCAGCAATAAAAACCGAAACCTGTCAGGTCTTACCGTATTCATTTTTTTTAATACTTAGATAATTTCAAAAAATGCATATTTACCTATTCAGCATCGAACAAATGAATGAAACTCATTCTTAAACATCGAACCAATACTAAACAACGATTTTTGTTTTATTTTTCAAAACTAGTGTCGTCACATTGAGCATCTAGATAATGCATTGATAATGCAAATAGTTGCATGATCAATTTCACTTTGTTCATTATGAACTCGTACAAGAGATGGAGTTAAAGCTATTAATTGCTGAAAATAAATCAAGTCTCCAACTTTCTCGATCGTAAAAATCGGTTCCCCTGCACCTTGTGGCCCATGGCTTCCAAGAGTGTCTGGTTTGTCGGAGATAGCGCCATAATGTTTGCGGCTAGCGCTATTTCTTACTAAACTAAGAGCCGATTAACCCTACCACCGATTATAAAAAAACTAACTAATGTGAGTTTTTTCTAGAACCAAAAAATTATTTTCGGGTTATACATTTTTTCTCTTTTCTGCTAAAACAATTAGTGAAACAAATAGTTGAATATCATTATTTACAACAAAACAAAAGGGTGAAAAGTATGTTGCGATGCTACCTATTTGCTGACGGGGCGTCAAAAATTTCTACGGCCACACCAACTTTTTTGTAGGGAAATTGGTTATTACAAATCAGATGTAAGATATATAAAAACAGCCCCTTTAGAAGTAAAAACTCTTGTGCAGATAATGCGCTTTTTTAAACCGAAATAGCTTAGTAAATAGTTGAGTTATAGGGTAGTAACATACTATCGATGTTAACCTGTTTGAAAGATGACTAACGGTGAGGGGGACATTTATACATACTTATTTAAAGACCGTCTGGCATGCATTAAAAATCTACGCTAAATAATGCAAGAAGCATCAAGATCTTAGAGAAATTCTCCGAAATATTCCATTTTACTTCCATTCGTTCTTTATGAAAACCCTCTTCTGACAATTCGTTTTCAAGATATTATTCGCTTCGACTTCGCCAATGTGAGTACTCCCCTCCGATAAACTGTTTTTGAGAAATTCGCTCCTGAAGTTTTTTGACCTCGCCAATGAATATACTTGTTAGTTGTTCCAGACGTCCCCATCGCCCTTGCAAATACCCTGCTCCGACAATCGGCTCTTAGAATATAAGGAATTATAACTGATCCCGATAATAGGTCGTGGAGAAAAGCATAGTAAGTAGAGGTCAATTCCTTTCGTTGAGACCTTTCATTAGAGTAACATGAAAAATAAAATTAAAGTCCTCCCTTCCCCCTCAATTTTGATAAGGGGTAAGAGAGGACGGGTAGTTTGTGGAAAACAGTTCATTTCGTTGAGACCTTTAATTAGAGGGCAATGAAAGTTTTCCCCCCAACCCCCCGTCACTCACTTAACCCAAAAGGAAACCGCGGAAGACAGTTATAGTTTGTAGAAACCAATTCCTTTCCGTGAGACCATTCATTACAATCTAATGAAGGGTAAAACGTGTGTTTATCCCCCTTCCCCACCCCTCCATTTTCAAAGGTAGCGAAGGAGCCAAATTGCCATGTAAAAGTTATTCACGTTTTACTTTCAGAAACAGCACCTCCGGAAATAATTAATGGGGGTGGCCCCACCTTTTTGATTCGTTCTCTGTTAGAGAGGGACCAAACTAATCATATTTTTAAAACAAACCGAGGGTGCTTTGTTTCGAATCTACTGCAGTTCCTCTTGAATTTTTTTCGAAAATTATGGAGCATCAAAAAGGGTGAAACGTCTTTGGATAGAACACCCCAAGATTGTGCACCCCTAAGCGGGTTTAGGTTTGAATACGTTTCTGATTTTATAACAATGAAATTCCTGGTCCATGTTTAAGTTTCAATTTTTCTTCACAGAAGCGGATCACAAACAAATATTAAAAAATACATTTTGTGCTCGATTGTAACCATTATTCTAATACACAACAAATAAGCATTTTCAATGTATAATTCCATGTCATATGACTGTTAGTTTACTCATTTTATTCTAAGACAATAAATAATTGTGCACAAGCTTCTAAAGTGACGGCATTAGTTGCTGCTTAAACAAGTTTGAAAATGTAAAGCCAACGTTAAAACGGCCCCCACCAAAAGAGAATCATAAATATCGACCTGTATAGTTATACGTTACAAGTTTTAAACAGTCAGAGAGCACAGTACGTCCAAAGTTTACTTCATAGCCCAAAATGGAGATAGTGGAGAGAATTGAATCCTTTTAGATCTTTTACTTAAAATTTTTATTTCTGTTGACAAAAATACGACTAACCTTCGTTTACAAGTCCTTTCGTTCATAGACTTGATGGGCTTTTACTGCTAATTGCTACTCATCAATTTGGGGTTGATATCGGATGGTTTCTAAAAGACTGCATACTTAAACCCTCCGCCCGTATGAAAATCTTCCGACAAAATGTGAAAATTGAATAGGTACTACAGGCCTGCTCCCAGTGCTGGCTTATTTGCTGGTCAATGAAATCTTGTCCAAAAATGCGTTTGCTTATGCATTCACATTTACTTAACTTGATTACTGTTTAAGTTTTATTTGAAAGTAGGCGGTTGCACTAAATTTGCTCTTTATGGTAACTGTTCTAACAATGAACATTTATTTACTTGATTTTACTGGTTTGATGACAGTTTTATTTGTTGTAATTCCTTACGCCAAATGGGTTAATTACACCCTCTCCCCGACTTTTTCAATGCTGCACCAATACGATGTAAACACACAAATATTCGTGAATGAATCAGAATTAGTGCAAAATAATCCCTTCTCTGAATTACTCAGTAATTTTAACACCCAACAATGGTGAAATGATCATGGCGGCGGTTTTTAATTAATTTCCATTGGTTCAAACGGCTTTTAGGGCTGCTCACAGAGCTATACTCAATTTTCTAAATCGTAGATGTAACAGAAGGTGACTAATTTACAACGTGTAATTCAAAACCAGACCAGACCAGGATGATTTAATTAATTTAATCATTTGAAACTATTATCCCATTGAAAACTGTGGGAAGATGACGAACGTTCACTTGTATTACAATCGTCTAAATAAAAGCTTGAAACTACAATATTTGTTTTCAAAACCTTAACACTTTTTCAATTTCCTCGTGATTCCAAAAATCAATCTAGTTCAGGCAATTAATGCTGAAAATGGTGGTTTAGACTCCCTAGAACCTGTTTAGTGCAGATAAAGTAGTCCTGGCTCTATAGCCGAGGCAAAGAAGAGATATTTCAAAGTAAAGTTCTATTTCAAAGTACTGTTATATTTGTTTGATGTCACTTTACGACAACGGTACACGATCGAAAAGCTTCTAATGCTCAAAATTGTAATTGTGTCTTTATTTTTAGAGAGAAACTGGGCTCTTTAAAAAATCCTCATTACATTCACGTATTTATACTAAATTACTCCGCGGTCTATGGCAAATGCTGCCGGAGAAAGTTCCGCCACTGCCCACTGAAGACGAGACTGTGCCACCACGATTTGAATTCGACATGAAACCACTTCCGGGCCCTCCCGCCCAAAGTAACAATAAATACTAGGCGTGTAAAATAAGGTTCCAAAGAAATGCAGTCGCGGGGTTGTAACGCGAGATGCGGCCGCAGTGGCATGCAGCTTGGTTCTCTCTCGCCCAATTCCCCACCCGGCGAACTATCTGCGGCACTCACTTTTGCGTTGGCAGCCGTTAGAGATGGAACTTCTACCGTCAGTTGTGAATTACGCACTGGGATTCGTTTTTTTTGTGTGCAAAAAAATGCGCCGATGGACTGTGTTGTCACTGGGAGTCACGAGAACTGGATCCACTACACTACACCATACCGGAAATGAAACAATCATCCGCAGCGGAAATATTTATCATTCCCAGAGCCGCGAAATCTGTGCTCTTATGCATGCACAATGTAGCACAATTGAGGCACAGTACATACAAAAAAATTGTTTCATTTAATCAAAAAGTTTAAATTTACTGGAATTTTGAACCATTTAGGTAACCGGTTTAAAGAAATTTACTTGCTACAACTTCCTTTATGAGAACTTTTTTCTAAGATGAATAATTTTAAAGATGCCTGGGAATGTTAAACAGAAAGCGTAGTAAAAATTCCTTAACTGGCACCGTTCCCGAGTGTGTCTCACGAAAATCGCCTAATAACCACCTCCGCATATCCAGTGGTTACGAGGAGGCCCGACCCAAAGGAACAGTGGTAAAATACTGTAAAATAAAAAAGCTACAATGCGTATAACCTTTCGGGTTGTGACAAACCTGCCGTTGTTTAGTCGCCTCTTACGACACGCAGAGCCCCTGCGCTAGGGTTATTCTTTCCCGCCCCTACACGGGTAAAATGCTGAAAAACAGGATTGCACCAAATGGATAAGGTCAGAAACTTCAAAACAATTAAAGTGAATAACTAAAAAATACCAACATTTGAAAAAATTTCATTGTGCTTAATTTTTTCCAATTGAAGAACCAAGACATTTTCGACTGATTTTAGCATTGTGAGGATGAAGCAGGCGCGAAACTTTCCCGTGCAATTTTGAAACGCTTGCAATTTGGAAGGTTTTGACATGTAGAGCGTCAGTCTGGTAGAAAACCATTCAATGTTGTACAAGGTACAAGGATAAAATACAGTTTGGTTCGTGTAAGCGTAGAAAACGCTTTCCACTTGAACCATTGCTACTTTATTAATCATCTATCTAACATCAAACTAGCGTAGTGTAGTAGTTGGTTTGGACTGGGTCTTTTATGTTTCATCACAAACGTATTCACACAGGAAGTTATCTATTAAACTGAAACATGAAAGACCGGTACTTAGTTATTAGTAGCCGTAAAACGAATATTACAAAGAGATGGATCATTGCACACGCGAATTACCTACTGCGAAAAATTGCTTTGACATTGGACGAGTGATCATTATGCATTGTAATCTTCCGACTAATTCCCCAATTACATTAATAGTGTACCTACATTTAATTGATGCATGCCTACACCAAATTACATTGTTTCACCGAAAAGTTATTTTTAACTATATTAAGGTTGAGGTATGGTGCCACTGATCTCATATATTAGTTATTCGATTGTCTTGTGTTATCCTGTCCACGAGAAAAACAAGTTGTCAAGAATGCAAATAGCATTTATGCTAAGGAAATCGTAGCATATTCGTAGCAGGTTAAATAATGCATAAGGAATGTTTAAAACACGTGTGGCCTTAATTAACGTGTTGTTTACTCGACGGCATCATCGACGGAGGAGAATTCATTATTCAAAGTCATTTGTTTGAATTGTATTTCATTAAAATTCTGATCAGATGAGCCATCAACTTTTGTGAGAGTTGTTTGATCCACATGGTAAAAATTCCGTATTACTCGCTTATATTTTCTGAACTGCTGAATCGAATTTCAAAAGCGTTCCCCGCAAGTTTTTGGCCACAATTCCAAAACTACTCTTTCTGGAATGTTCACTAGATGTTCAAGTAAACTCTTTTTTCAGGTATGGTTTCAAAACCGACGTGCGAAATGGCGTAAGCAAGCGCGACTGCAACTGTTACAAGACGCCTGGCGCATGAGATGCCTCGGATTACCAACGCCTCCCCTTATTTTAGCAGGTGCTATGCGTTTAATTCAATATCATTTTGTCCTTAAATTACTTATTCTATAGGTGGTGTACCACCCAATGAACCTCATCCTCAAGACAAGTTGCACGAAAAATCCAGCTATCCTCCAATGATGACACCAGGACTTCCAAGACCATGTCCATGCTCTCCAAATATGGACAACATTCCAGATTCGAGCAAGTTACATACGCACTCCAATACAAGAACGCCATCACCTACTGCTCCCGACGACCTATCACTCCCTCGAAAACTGTCACCGCCCGACAGCCACACAAATCCATTCATCCCCAGAATAAACTCCAGTAATAGCGATTAAAAATGTATATAGGCGCGTTTAATTATTAGTCCGTAAGTTACAAAGTTAATCGATGTAAATCTCATTTACGCTCATCTATAATCTTATGTTAATTAGGTCATAGATTCGACGCACATTATGCGTTTCGTTTATTTGAACTCAATAAAAACTTCTCTATTTCCTTAACGAATGGCGATCAAGGGCAATGCCGCCGAACTTGTCCGTGGGCAGCCTTGGCTGGGTTAGTTGACCCAAACTCGATCGATTGATCGAGTCAGTAGTCCGATTGAATTATATTTAGGTAACATTTGCTGTTTCAGATTTAACTTTAGATTCTTTACTTCATTTTCATTTAGTGCCTTTTAGCATGCGTACGAGAGTCTACTGCTTCGTAATGTACAAATTATCGGAGCTCTATTTAGTGGCGTATCTACGTAAAATACTAACCATGGGAGATCACTTGTTTGAATTGAATGAGCTTAGAAATGAGAATTCTGCCTTGTGAAGCAATACGTCCCGGAGCACCATAAGCGCTGTCTGTTACTCCAGAAATCATCCACCCAATTTCACGATTTGGTACTGACAGACAAGTCTAAACATGCGTGAGTTAGTCGATAATGAAGACATTGAGCTTGTTGCATAGGAATCCAAGTGGACTGGACTGTATGGGTCTTTTATTACTATTGCTATAGAGGAAACCTGATTCAGCACTATACACTCCAGAGACAAAACAACATTCAAAGCAGCGAACTAAGAGGGGCGATGATATTCCTAGTCGACTACCTTAAGAGGTAAATAATAAGGGTCAGCACTTTTGGGCCGTTTAAGGGCAGCAATCGCGAAAAAATGGTGGAAATTAGTGATAAAGAAAATCTGGTTTCACTATAACGACAATGCAGTCCTAAAAATTCCTTGACTTGCGATTCCACCTTTCACCTTCATCTTATTTAGCTCAAACGGTTCCCAAACCTTTCAAAAATCATATACCATTGAATAAGTAATTATTCAATGTTAGAGAACTTAAAACACCTCGGCCTCGGCGATAATAGATAGATGATATTAGGACAAATTAGTAAAAAAAAAAGTATGAGGATTAAAGATTACATTAGGGGACAGTCTCTTGGTATGTAAGTGATAAATTGTTATTTTCGCCTGTTACACTGAAGGAAGCAGGGGGGGGGGGGGGTTCAACATAACCTGAGAAGGGTGGGTGGCACAAAAACTGGAACGGAATATTTGTGGCCATTGACGACAGAGGGTTGATTAAATGGAAGAAAAGTTGCACATACCTACATATGCCATAAATAATTTCTCAAAAGGAAATTTTTAGAATCCCTCTTAGGTGCTTCCGACGATATCCCCAAAAAGATGAATAAAGCAATTTACGTTTTTATTTTTTACGGTTTTATTGTTGATTATTTGTAAAAACTATGATCCCTTTCTTCTATTCTCTGTAAGAAAATGATTCACGTTTCGCACGTTTTTGTAATCCCTGGACTGGGCTGTTTTGAATTCTCATGGGATTTTTCATTATGGTGTTTTTAATCACATATGCCTTGGTAAGTTTTGTGGCAATTTACAAACAATTGCAACATTATTAATTTTATTATCTGTCAGTTTGCCGCCACACGTTGTATACACTGTGTGCAAGATAAGATATGTATTTCATGGGGATTTCGCAAACCATACAAGACACGACCATGATATTAGGGCAAAGATGCGCAATAAAAGAGTTATTATCATATAGTAAAGAAAACCAGAAAATTCTGTATTACTTCCGAAGATATGCCAGAAAAGGCAAAATTTGACGATTTTGTTATAATTCTTTACTGCTGTTATTTGAACAGATATGATCGTATATCAGATGTTGAGGGCCATTTTGCGGAAAAAACAAATGAATATTTGTATACTGGATTGAAGATGTTATTGAAACGGTGTTATACATGTATCCAAACGTAGGGGAACTATATTGAAAAATAAAATTTTGTTGTTGCTTTAGTCTTTTGTGTTCATGCCTAATCCGAGAATATAAAAACCCCTGGTACATTAAATTAAATATGAAATTATTTTGCATTTTTGAGTAAATTTTGATAGATAGTTCCTTTTTGTGTGGAATGTGCACATCACCACATTTCAAATGACAGACCTTTGTTCGTTACTTGAACAAGCTGTAAGAAATGTGACTGTTGCAAATAGTAATTCGGTATTCAAGAAGAAAGGGCTCTTGTAAAACTTGTAGGAGACAATTTTGATCCAGTAATTTTCTCTGAAAGCAAACTCATGCATTGAGAATCTATCAGTAAGCCATTGTAAATACAAGGCAGGAAATACGACAATTGCCAGAATACCGAAAAACTGAAGTTACTCTTTCTCGAGAGCCGGATGTTACAATTGAAAGATACAAAGGGCTTAAGAAAGTCCCTATATCATCATTTTCTTTTACATTTGAAATAATACCCCCATTGAACGTATTAGTTTTAGCAGTAAACTTGGTTCCCTAGGGTTCGGATACTATAGAGAAAGTATAATGCTTTCAATACAAGATTGAATCGATAATCACATACAAAAACTAAATGCAATGCTCCACTTTAGGTAAGCAGATAATAATGCTGTGTGCAATGACCCAGCCAAAATGAACTACACACAAAACAGAGCTGGGCAGTATTCGATTTTGTAAATACTTTTTAGTATTCAAATACTTTGTAATTAAATACTTTTATGGAAGCAGTATTTGTATTTGTAACTCAAATACTTTCGCAAATATTTAGTAAGTATTGGAATACTTCGCAAACTATTTGAATACTTCGTAAAGTATTCGAATACTTCGCAAGGTATTTGAATACTTTGAAAAGTAGTCGAATACTTCGCATAGTATTTCATTAAGTACTTTTAAGTTATTCAAATATTTAAGAACTATTTAGAAATGTTTAGGGGAAGTTTCCATTATCACAAAATCAAATATAAAAATCCGATACAACTCAATACCGAACGATCCTGGAGTGAAACTTTTTGACTTGATAGTCTACGTAACAATAGGGACCTTTCTTATATCCTTAAGACCATGTGTACCAATTTTCAAAGCGATCGCACGTTTCTAAACAAGTTATCATGCACACGGACAGACGGACGGTCGACGGACAAAAAAGGATCTGTTTCAAAATCGCTAGGATTAATTTTAGAAAGGTGTACGTATCATGTGCACGACGTACGATCACTTTGAAAACTGGTACACGTATTCTTAAGGGTACAACTGATATAAGAAACCTCCTATACAATAATATAATAATAATACGCTTTTACTCCCCTTAAATTTGTATATAACAATAGAAATATTTTTAAAAAAGCTAACCTCAGGGAAAAAAACGCTGTTCTTCCATGTAGCCCCCATACAAAGTATAACTTCACATTTTTTAGGTAGTATTAAGACTTTTATCTAATATACTATTTTAAATTTTTAATGTATTTGAGTGACAAGTATTTTAATACTTTTTACTGTATTCGAATACTTTTTATAATATTCGAATACCTTTGAAAGTATTCGACTACATTCTAAAGTATTTGAATACTTATTTTTGAAAGTATGAATACTTTTCAAAGTATCGTATTTAGTAGTTACTTGTGCTGGATATAAAAGTATTTAGTATTCAAATACTTTTTGAAAGTATTCTGTCCAGCTCTGACACAAAATACTTCAAACCTAACTAGCTCTCTAATTAACTCTCTCAAAACACATCTGAATCCCGGCGCAATAAAAAAAATTAAATTTAACTTTAAACTCCAGATTCTAAAGCAAACAATGGCCACGATCAAATTCCTTAATTTCCAAAAACATCACTTCCATAATAAGAATAAGTATTGACTTAAAAAACATATAAAATGATCAACTCAACAATATCTAATAATTCAGTGCTTTTCGATATTCAAAGCCTCTCAGTAATCATAGTAGGCCGTTAAAAATTATAAACACCAATTCCAGTTGTAAAACATTTACCCCGAACAAAACAAAACACAAACTCAAAAACCATAAAAACCAAAACAACAGCTAGTTTAAATAAAAATAAAAGAAAAACAACAATTATTTTGATAAATGTTCAAAATGTCTTCCGCGCTGTACAAACATTTGTCGATGCGTTTAAAAAGGGCATTCTTTACAAGACGAAGCATAGGGGACGTTAGGAATGCGAAAGTATTACGAATGCGCATTTTCATATTCTCTTTTGTTGTTGCGATGCGACTTCTTTGTATAGAATTCCGCGAAGTCCAGTGGAGTAAGGTCTGGGGTCTGGAGAGCGCGTTGTCCAATTTTTAGCGCCTCCTCGACCTATCCCGCTCCCAGGAAATTGCTTATTCAACCATTCTTTAACGTTTACAACAAAATAAGATGGGGCACCATCGTGCTGAAATCGCATTTCTTGTACGATGTATACCGGAACATTTTAAAAAAGAGCAAAAAGTTGAGTATACTTAAAAATTAGTTTTAAAGAGTACCGCTAAAATTATTTTCAAAAATTCAAGCCCATACATTAAGGAACCATATTATGCTGGCGGCGGATGTCGTCATGACAATATGAGGGTTGTGATCAGAGTAATAATAAAAATAGTGCTTATTTACAGTTCCATTTTTACGTAATGTTTCTTCGCCTAAAAATATTATTCCTTGTAAAAAAAATTAACCTGATCAAGCTAGTTTTGTATCCACTGGTAGGTAACCTTTAATTTTTTTGTTGATAATCACCGTCCAAAAGTTCCTGGTAAAAATGAAGCTTCTTTTTATTTTCTGAATTGAGATGATATATTAATTTATTTATTGCTGCAGTATCACTATATCACAGTTTTATAGAAGTCAAATTGTAATAAGTATGTTTAAAATTATGTAAGTCCATCGCGCTTTTATCAATGTTTAAAATATCGGTCTCAAATTCAGCAATATCATTGACTAATTGGGGGGGGGGGGGGGTATTAGTCAATGGAAATACTGACAAAAGCAAAGGTACGGGAAATTCAACAATTACATACTCTTATAATCATGAATTCATTTTCTTCATGTTTCCCGGGTTTCACAATTTCCTGTTTTTTATAGCGCAGATTTCCAGTTCGCTCAAAACGTTCTAAAAGGATTCTAAACGACGGTTCTTTTGGGTGTTATTGGGGAACATGTCTTTGCTAACTAATAAACAATTTTTCTGACATTCACCCAGTACAAAAATCATATCAATTACTTATCATTTCTTTTTAAATTCCATTTTTTTTGCGCGATCGGTCATTTCTGACTATTTACCATGGATGTTTCTATGACAGTACGTAGAATTTACCAGTTGCTATGATTACGACGACGCCAAAATTACTTACCGATCTAAAAACAGAACAGCAAAAATACTTACCGACGCCTTTTTAAAAATCAACAGTCTTATATTACATTTAATCTTTAATTATTGTTAGGTACATTAAACGTACAATTTGTGCTGTTGTTTCCTATAGCAAGACGCTCATAAAGTCATAAAGGAAGTGCAAAGCTAGTAAACTACATCAGACACATGCACATTTTTATGAAATTATTACTTTCAATTTTGACATTTCAACTGGTTACCTAGTGATGTACACCAAACCACTTCGATTATTTCGATTTATTCTGCTCGTTAATTTCTTAGTGCATATTTATATTGGTTGGATAATTTTAATTTCGATCGCGCAAAAAATGTTATAAGCACGTCGAACGTTAAGGGTTACCGTTCTCAGACAATAATTGGAGTCGTCGCTTCGCTCCTCCTCCAAACAATTGTCTTCGAACGGTAAAAATCCCTTACCGTTCTCCATACTTAATATACTATTTAGGTACTTATTTTATCTTTTAAAATGAGCCATGAAAAACATGGAAAACTTTTTGTTTTGTTTAATTTTGTTTGGGGTAGTAAAATCGTCAGGAAGGTAATCAAATCCGAGATTTTATAGAACGCTGTTAAGTCTATGGAAAGATAATTGCTTGATCCACCAACAGGAATGTACAGAAATATATTTTCCTACTGTTTAGGGAAGGTTGGGAGCAAAATATCACTATTCTGGAATAGAACCGGCTTCAACCAGTGACAACGTCATTAAAAGCACGGCGCAAGGTTGGCTAAAGCTCACTCCCCAGGTTTACAAATACGCATTGAAGAAAATTGACCTGAATATTCATAACGGAATTTCTATTTTAATTATTATATGCAGCAAACTGATCATTAGCTTTTTGATTTGTTTAAATTTACAATTTACCAAGCCCATGATGCATTTATTATAGGCGTTTATTGACAGTGCATCATCGACGAATTTAAAACGAATATGCAGAATTTAAACGTATTCAGTAAACGCATATAAACCGTGTATCGATACGGATAACAATAATATTCCTACAAAAAAAAAATCCGCTGTATATTACCAGTATATGATTACGTTTTTTACACGTAGGGTTTTAGTTTACTGTAAACGCTTTTTATACAGAGGAGTACAAAAATAGGTAAACCAGGAAACCAGAACGATCTAGAAGAGGGAAAGATGCGATTTACAAAATAAAAACAATACCTACTTAAGAGAAGGAAGCCACTGAGCTAAACCACAACCAATAAGACCGTAAAAAATCTCTAATGGTAAAACTAAATTTCAACGTAAACTCAAACAAACAAAGGGAAAAAAGTCTTTTGGCGTATGGTTATGGATAGAGAAAAGGTCTAATTCAACTGTACTTTTTCCTGTAATTCCTGAGTAACACGATAGATATAAGGCACTCCAGTCGAAATAGTCTTTTGAGGATTTACTCCATTGTGGAAGCAGGTGGAATATCGAGAAATGTGGCCTACTGTTTAGGGTATTCTGATCTATTAAACTTTGGTGGCGCCTGCATTATCAATTTCATAATGAATCCCATTAAAAAAGACGACGTAAACAGATGACCGAATCGACAATAAAATGTAATTAATGTGTATGACAAGAGATCTCGCTGATAAAATCACCCAATAACTATTCTTTAACCACTTCACGTTTTCATTCAGCTGAAATAGGCCACCCCATTTAAGTGTAGGTGCGTCTATTAACTAAATTAAAAGATGTTATCTACAGTTTGAGCAGTCTTATCGCACAATCAATTTGGAAACGAACAAAGTCCGGACAAACGGAAAGCTGGCAGAGCTTTAACGCAATTTCCCTTCCCTTTTTCCATAATACTCACTAAAAATGAGATAATGACAATATCAGCAGCTCGCCTGCAATGTTTGCTTAGCAGGAAGCTTGATTAGGATAACATCAATTTGAAACAGTTCCGAAATAGAACATGACAAACGAGAATTGCTTTAATTAAAAGTGACGGTCGCTTTTTGTACATTGCAAATCACAATGCGATTAAGGAGAGTTGCGTTTTAAATTCGACTTTTATTGTTCCACCTAGTAATAAATGAGTCGTGTTGCGAAACATGCATTGTACGAACCGCTCAATTGTTTAATAATTAAAGTAAGGTGCGCCACTTTTCGTTGTTTTATGTAAAAATGAAATGTGGAAACAACCCCCACCAATAACTGTGAATGGTTTGCGCTGGTAATTAATTGTAGGGACACACAGCTACGTTTTGTGATTGTATTCGATTTTAAAATTACCATGGTTAATTATTGAGAAGCTGCTCATCATTTCTAAATAGAAATATCGACCATGAGCGTTGAGGTTGACTTTTCGGCATTTTGCAAAACATCTTACCTTGGGTAATCTGTACGGATTTCGTAAGATAAATTATGATATAATAAAGATAACGATATACTTTAAATATTAGGTAAGGCTAATTGCACAGTCACAGAAGCACGAATTTCAGCCGTAGAAATTTGGCCATTATATGCAAAAAAAAACGGTATAATCGAGTGCATCAGTTCCGGAAGTTCACTTCTTGAATATTGTTAATGTAGAGGGCTTAACAGACAGTAGTAGGTACAGTACAAGTGCAGAGTACAGCTACCTCGACCATTATAATATAAACGCTATAGTCTGATGCTGAAGAGTGAATAGGTAAGACGAGGTCTTCGAGTTCGGCCGGTTCCCCAATTTAAACTACTTGTGATATTTTAGGCTACTACGGCTACTATGAATAAACATTTTCGAGTAAATAAATGAGTAGTACCTGTTCGCGACTAAAATAGTATACGCGACGCAACTTAACGCTTAAAATAGTTAATTAAGCCAACGAAAATTATTTTAAACCGCGTGTCGACCCGTAAACCAAAATTCGTTTCGATTTAAGCGGATTTAAAAAAATTGTGCGGTCGGACACGCACCTACAAAGGTAAGTGAATACTTTTAATGCAGTTGTTAGCGGTCGTCCTTGGTGTATGTTTCCAAAATGCCTACACCTCCGAGATTATCGCTTCTCTAATTAGAAAATCGAGGCTTGATTTGACTACTGACCGTAAATATTAGTGCAAAAATTGAATTAATATGGTAATTTAATGCCTAGGACCGTTATCTACATGTAGAAAAACGGCATTAACGCGAAAGTGAAAAATAAGTCAATAGTTGAAGGCATGTCTAAACCGTCCTTTACCTTTATTCAAAATTATCCTGTAACTGTACATTTCCTTCACAATGCTATATTTTAAGTGAGAGATGTGATTTTCGCCTCTGAGGCCATATGTATTCAATACAATTCACAACAGGTTCTTGTCGCCTTCTATAACAACGATGGCACATCCATTGACCATTGACCTACACCTCTAGTTTGTCCCAGTAGAGTGCAAGTGCCAACACATTATGCACAAAGTAACAATTGACAATGCTTTGTCATTATCATATTGACGTACCACCGTGTTACATGGTTCAAACCATTGAATTTAAGTGTGTTAAAGTCCTTGTTCAAACCAACACAGTAAAACGCACTTGGACAATTCGCACCAAGCAAAATTCGCACCAAAGACAATTCATATTCGAACAATTCGCATCCGGATAAACCGCACCTGGATTTCGCTCGCTCGCATAAGAACTCTACACGTAAGGACATCATCCTCGAGCATGAATATATTATTGAATTCGTGGCAAAGCTCCATTAAGACCTAGTACTCTTTCTGGTTAAGATGCGAAGTTCTCAGTCCCTCGGATATTGTCTCCAAACGTGCCTACTCATATCGATACCTTCAACCAAAAGTTCTGAGACTCTAGGGTTTGCTATTTCTATTAGTATTATCAATAGAGATGGTTATATTGTGTCTTAATATAAAAAAATTCATCTCTGTAAAAACGAATAGTATTTCTAATGAGCTTTTAATTGTTGGATAATTATGATTTTAAAGAGGGTGGCGGGATTGAACAAAAAATCACCGTAAAATTTCCCTACCGACACTGATGTTTAGTGAAAACCGTATGAGGCTTTTTAGATGTACTTTAATCTGTACAGTACGAGTCACAGAGATACATCTATACTTTTGGTATACCATAATGGTGAAAGTGTTATTATTATTGTTTCTGAGCGCGACTGAATGACAAGAGTGGATAGGTTATAAACTGGTTGATTTCTATTTTTAATATTTTGTAATAATCGGCCAGAGCAACAGACTAATTAGTCCAACTGGACTTTTTACAAAAGAAAATTGTTAATGGAGCTTTGCCAAGTGTATATGTTAAAATGGTCCATAACAAATACAAAAAAAATAAATACGTGAGGAGGGGAGTGGGACTATGTTTTGGTTTGGGGGAGGGTGAAAAGGGATGAAAATCGTATGACGGCAATTTCCGGCAAAAGTTGATATCAGAGACAAAAGTGTTCGATAAGAAAGTTGTAGATCGTGAAAACTCTACTACTTTCTTTCCAGTCACTTTCTCACATAACGGAAAAATCGCGGAAAACAATGTTTTTCGTTTTTTATTGTTCATTGGCACAAAAATGATGGTTGAAATATACAGGGTGACAATTTGAAAACTTACCACCCCTCATATCTTAGTAAATAAACGAGATATTTAAAAAAATCAAAATCCGTTTCGGTAATTCGGAGGGGGAATCACAATGACATAGTTGGCGACGCACCCCCTCCAACCCCCTGCGCCCCAGCCACCCCAACTTTTAAATCTTAAATAGTGACCCCCCATGTGTGATACGTCGTTGGAAAGCTCTGAAAAAATGCTTTCCAACCATACCAAATAGCATTACATTTAGGTTAGTAATTATCGTGCAAATCAAAAAATAAGCATGGAAAATCGTATTTAACTTCAACTTCCAAAGCCGACTTGACAGCAACTCATTTTTGATCGCCAGTTATAATCTATTCTCAAACTCTTGTCGAACCTTTTCAAATGTTGGTTTTGCAATATTTCGACATTCTTGAATTATTCTCTGTCTTAGTTCGTCTATGTTCGCCGGTTGCGTTTTAAATACGACAGATTTCAAATGTATCTTATTAGTTTATTTTTTGATTTGCACGATAATTACTAACCTACATGTAATGATATTTGGTATGGTTGGAAAGCATTTTTTCAGAGCTTTCCAACGACGTATCACACATGGGGGGTCACTATTTAAGATTTAAAAGTTGGGGTGGCTGGGGCGCAGGGGGTTGGAGGGGGTGCGTCGCCAACTATGTCATTGTGATTCCCCATCCAAATTACCGAAACGGATTTTGATTTTTTTAAATATCTCATTTATTTACTAAGATATGGGGGGTGGTAAGTTTTCAAACTGTCATCCTGTATACTATTTTATGATTGAAATAACTACAAATTTTTTCAATATAAAAAATGAAGGGGTTTCACAACCACAATCAATTTTTTTTATATGCGTTTAATTTATTTTTTTAAAAGCACCGTTCGTTACAATTTCATGAAAACCTGCCCATAAATAAGAAAGTTGGGTATGCATTTTTTTAATACGTGTATATAATAAATATCTCGATGTCTATCGGGATTTCTGGAATATTCGATACACTATTATGTACTTTTATCATTTTATCTATAATCTATAAATATCTTGTTATCTGAAGCATTTAGGCTATGGTTCAACTTTTGTAGATAATTTATTAAGCTGTCATCTGATGTAATAATATACAGAGTGTACCATATCAAACTCACATTTTTTTGTATCTCAAAAATGCGATTGTTTTTTAATTAGAATGTACGCATGCGATTGTTTTTTTTTTAAGAATGTACGCATGCGATTATTTATTAATATATTTTGTTGAAATTTTAACCACAGATACTTGTGGACAAGGTAAACATATCGCATACCTATAGTAAAAATCAAACTGCGCAATGTTAACTTTATTATTTATGGAGATTTTTCTTTGAAATTTTAAACAAAGATGCTTTTAGTAAAGGAGACGTATCGCATATTGTAAACATCAGATTATTGTGCGCATACGCAGGATGCGCAATATCAACTGTCATTTATCGAGATATCTTTTTGAATAATGTTAATCACAGATGCTTCTTTATAATATATATGCTTGTAGTTTGAAAGTTCAACCACAGATGCTTCTAGTAAAGGCAAACATATCGCATATTGCAAAAATAAGATGCGCGAACGAGTAGATTACGAAATGCTAACATGATTATTAATTGAGATATTTGTTTGATATTTTAACCATAGATGCTTTTAGTAGAGAAAATAATAGCCATAGCATTTTGTAAAGTACTGCTAAATGCATGGAAAATGCGCTAACGTTACAGGGCGAAAACCTTTTTACTTAGGTATTATTCGTACCGCGAGTCACTAATCTTGTTTCATAAAATAGGTAAAGGATAAAAACAATCTTTTAATGACTCAGTCCTAGCCTAGCAAATAACGCAAACTCTCAGGAACTAGTCAAAGAGATCAGCAGAAAATTTTCGTTTCAATCAAACCATACTGATGTATCAAGGAGCATCACTACAACATTTTCTGACAGCTTTACAACAATTATCAATCAACTGCCAATTTGATGAAAATTCAAAGAAATCGTTTGGTATTGGTCTTCGCTGAAATAAACCAGGTGTCAAATTCTTGACAGAATAGCTTCCTAGCTGAAACCAAAAATTGCCAACATATGTACGCACTTACAGACGGGAAAAATTTATTCTTTAAAAGTTGCTTAAAATGGTCTAAAACGTCGACATTTGATGAAATTTTGAAATGTTCAAAAAACGGCTATCGCTATAGCTACCTAGCACATGCTAGGAAGCTAAAAAACATTACAGATAAAACTGTAAGTAAACTTAAAATCCTAGGATTAGTATTGTTTGTGTTTGGCAAAGCCACGAGTCTCACAGCGTGTTTAGTTTTGATATGACTTATTTGCTTATTTCTTAATTCTTGACGTCTACATGCGCCGCTGTATTCTTACACCATACCGTGGACTCCTATTAGCCCTATGCTTTCGTTCAATACAAAATAGTAGGCGAACTATTTGTATACCATTGCAATTCCCCATAAAGTCAATTTGGGTGCAAGTGCAATACAAAATGGGTGATGTGAAGAAACTTTTAGCAGGTGTCGACACTATAAGGAATGAACAATGGCAAAATTGGACAAAACTCACGATGGAGCAAGAAAGGAGGAAATTGGATCTGCAGGGAATAGCATGAATGATGAATGATTGAGAACATAATCAATTTGGATTCAGATAGTTCCACTACTGAAGAGTCAGACGATGCAATCTCGGAGTGATTTTGCTATAAAATATTGTATACCTAATATGTTGTATGAATCAAGATACGGGGAACTTGTTTGCCACTCAGCTCGTATTGAGGAATACGACTTTTAATTTAATAGCACTGATCCTTGAACTCGTATAAATCGATTGGCGAAGGTTTGACTTCCCTGTCTCTTTTAGTTCTCGAGCTAAACGAGGAACAGACGGACAAAACCATCACATATGAGGAATTTTTAGCTTCCTAGCATGTGCTAGGTAGCTATTGCGATAGCCGTTTTTTGAACATTTCAAAATTTCATCAAATGTCGACGTTTTAGACCATTTTAAGCAACTTTTAAAGAATAAAATTTTTTCCCGTCTGTATGTACGTACGTACGTTTGTTGGCAATTTTCTGAGAAAACGGCTCGACGGATTTTGTTGAAATTTTGTATATATGTTTTAGGCATACCGAACAGAAAAATAACGGATTTTTGAAAAAAAATTTTGGAGCGCCGTAACGGCATCGAACTTTTTTTTCAAATAGCAACCTAAAATTTTTATTCTATTATTTGGAAGACCTTATTTTCCTGTGTACAACCTACAAAAAATTGGGCCGGGTTATATTATCAAAAAACGGAGAAAAAAAATTGTCAAAGTCAAAAAATTGTGTTGCATATGTGCAAAACGCAACGATCTTGTTTCTGAAGCAATTTAAACGAAATTTCTATGGTAAGTTCCTTTAATAAAAGCAAATAAAATTCATGCACAAAAATCGTGTTGCGCATGCGCAGAATAAACGCAATTTTCTTATTTATGGAACAATTAAAACGAAATTTGGATGGTAGGTCCTCCTGCGCAAAAAATCGAGTTGCGCATGTGCAACATCAAACTTTCTTATTTATGGAGCAATTTTAACGAAAATTGGATGGTA